CAACAAACAACACACAACAAACAACACACAACACACAACAACCACAATACACAACAACCACAACACACAACAACCACAACACACAACAACCACAACACACAACAACCACAACAACCACAACACCCAACAACCACAACACACAACAACCACAACACACAACAACACACAACACACAACAACCACAACACACAACAACCACAACACACAACAACACACAACAACCACAACACACAACAACCACAACACACAACAACCACAACAACCACAACAACCACAACAACCACAACAACCACAACAACCACAACAACCACAACAACCACAACAACCACAACAACCACAACATCATCATCATCAACAACAACAACCACATCAACCACATCAACCACATCAACCACATCATCATCATCAACAACAACAACAGCATCAACATCAACATCCCTTCGTCACGTGATGTTTTGGCGCTTGGTGGTGGATACCTTAGCATTTGGCAAGTGCTTGAAAGCAGGGAAAAAACGCAATGGAACTTGACGATCAGGGATGTTCATTTGTTTGAAGTGTGTAGAGTGACATCGTTCAGGAGAAAGCGCATCAATAGTTTCAAGTTTCAACAAACCCATTGCCAGGGGGAGCATGCCGCCAAAGTGGAAAAGATGGGGGTCCATCATGATCTTCATTGCATCCTCCTCATTCCTACCCTTATTACAATCATCACTATGGGGATGGGCGGGATGGGATTAATGTTGTAGGCCAAGAGAAAGAAAAGAAACGCAGAGGCGAGTCCCGGAACCCATATCTGGCGGGTCAGTGACATTTTTTTTGAAATTGGGCATTTTTTTTCTCGGATTGACAGGAGAGGTTGATTTCGGAATCCGCCCAATTGACGGTGCCGAACAGGGGTGCGTGGATCTTTGAATATGGTTTGGTCAAATCAGGTCTTGCTGACTTTGTGATGGAATTGGGAATTGGCGACAGGTGGAACACGCAGTAGATTCTGGCTCAGTGTCAACCAATGCAAGTTTTTCTCCGCAGGGAAGTTGCGAATCATTTTGAATCTTGATTTGAAAAAGGGATTGGAAAACACTTTTGGTCAACTTTTTTGGTAACACACATTCCATGGATTCTACAATTGACATGTCACTCACGTCAATGAAAGACTTAAGACGCTTAAGAGATCTCAAGACTGGTATAGACTGCATAGGGTATGGTCATAGTATGTCATAGTGTCGCACTTGTTGAATTGATCCAGACGAGTTGAGCATCGATGGGAATCAGTCATCGGATTCACTTCGTCGCGGTGACGGTGACGACGGTGACGGTGGCGGATCCAACTAATACTGCTCCAACGTGGGGCTCCTGCAGGCAGTTCCGATGGCCTCTGACCTGTGATTGCAGCTGTTGGCGCGATTCCCATCTTTTTCGCAGATTGAGAGCCGCTTATCGAAGGAATTCCAGCTCTTTGGAGATCTTGACACCCTACTTTCGAGATCGGGAATTTCTGTCGTCATGGATGTGGATAATGGTGAATGCCATCAAGGGTAGCAAGAAGTCGCAAGATCAGGTGGGAAGTACGGTCAATTTTCTTTCGGACCCGCGGGTCAACCAAATGAAGATGTAGACGTCACAACCCCTTGGCGTGTTGCATTCTAGCATTCCAACAAACAATGGATCCTTTGCAGATGCACTTTCTAGCAGACACTCCCCATCTTCCAATATTTCAAACTGCCGGAGGTTAAAATTGAGATATCAATGATCATGCTGAGAATTTTGTTTTCTTTTCAGTCCAACTTGAACCGAAATCTGACACACAGCTGACAAACATAACAAAGAATTGATAAAGAAACAGACAGAAAACCTTCACCCAACTGCCATTTTTGTGCCTTTTGCGGTTTTCCCCAGGTGCTGCAGTCCTTTCTGCCGAGAACTTCGCTTCGCAGCGACTGCCGCCCTGGCCTGGCGCTGTTGGCGCAGCTGGCCTCGCAGGCTGTGGTGGGCTTCACCTTGGAGGAGGTCAAAGGTAGAGCCTTCAGGTCCTATGAGGTCTCCTTGGTGCACCATGCCTATCAGGTGGATGGGGTTCTGTTGGGAAGTGGAGAAAAACAGTCAAGAACACTGGTGGTTGAACAAAATGAAAGTTTGAGGTGATTTGAAGGTCCGAAAACAGGGAACAGTGGATGAGTCGAAACTTGGAAGTTTCTAATTCTAAAGTTTATTCTCTTCATTTGCGAATGTTCATCAAGTTGAATCAAACTAAATTTCCCCCTTTCTTAGGTGAGTTTGGGGTTCAATGGCATCGCCACTGAGTTGGGCTTGGAATGCGACTGCAGCGACTCCCACTGGTTCTTGTCACCAAAGGATTTCCTGCAGTTCCGCGCCGAATGGGTGCCTTATTTGGATCGATTCAGTGCTGCTGTGCACAACTCGGAGTTGCCGCACTTTGAGAGAACTCGACAGCTGAGTCACCGGCAAAAGCTGTTGTTGGGAAACCAATGCCCAAAAGAAGCAGATTTGGAACCAAAAGTTCCCAAAGCATTGCCACGGTTCCTTGGATGTGCCAGATGTATTTGTGGCCTTTTTTCCTCTTGCTTTTTCTTGAACATGAAGATCCTGCCTAGTGCCACATTTCTTGGAAGTTTTTGATCATGTTGACATAGGTTCCAAACTTGCAGAAAAGAGTCCCATGAAGAAACCGTCTTGGCCAATAATTTGACCACATGCCGTGTAGAATAAGATGGAGCTATTCACCTCGTAGCGATGCTCCAGGGGCAACAAACATTACCCTGGCAAAAGACCCACAAGAAAGTGGGGGAATGGGGGGATAATGTAGGATAATGCTGAGGATGATGATGATGACGATGGTGATGATGATGATGATGATGCTGATGATGATGATGATGATGATGATGAGGGTGATGATGATGATGATGATGATGCTGAGGATGATGATGATGATGATGGTGATGGTGATGGTGGTGATGATGATGATAATGATGATGATGATGGTGATGATGATGATGATGATGCTGAGGATGATGATGATGATGGTGATGATGATGATGATGCTGAGGAGGATGATGATGATGATGATGGTGATGGTGATGGTGATGGTGCTGATGATGATGATGATGGTGATGATGATGATGATGATGATTATGGCGCTGGTGATGATGATGGTGGTGATGATGATGTTTATGGTGATGATGGTGATGGTGATGGTGATGATGATGATGATGATGGTGATGGTGATGGTGATGGTGATGATGGTGATGGTGATGGTGATGATGGTGCTGATGATGATGATGGTGATGATGATGATGATGGTGATGGTGATGGTGATGGTGATGATGATGATGATGATGATGGTGATAGTGATGGTGATGATGGTGATGATGGTGATGATGGTGATGATGGTGATGATGGTGATGATGGTGATGATGGTGATGGTGCTGATGACGACGACGACCACGAGGACGACGACGACGACGACGACGATGATGATGATGATGAGGAGGAGTGATTAAAAACATGGTGATATGGTGTTTGTGCTATTAACGACTATCGACGCGAAACGTACTACCAAACGACTCACGACCACGACTACCTATGATATGAATGATATGATGGTGATGGTGATGTGTGGTGATGGTTTGATGGTGCGTGCTGCTGCTGCTCGCTGAGCGCTAGCTGCTGTTCCGATGATGGAATGGTGATGGTTCTTAATGATGATTTTGAATGATTAGTGGTTGATGCGCTGCCTGCTTATGATGATGGTGATGAATGGTGAATTGGTGCTTGTATGACGTACACTGAGACGACGACGCCTGAACGCAGCCCTCCGCCGACCCGCCGGACGCGGGCCAGCCCGAGCGACTAACTACGACACGACGCGACGACACGCACCCCCAACGCTCACTACCCTGCCCACGACCACGACAGTATCTGAACGATGTACGATGATGATGAATGATTTGGTAGGAAGAGAGAGTTAGGGATGATATGTGATGATGTTGTTGTGGGCTTGATGCCGCCAGCCGCCATCCGCCGACGTACGCCGATGATGATTATGAGATGTGATTGTGATTGGTGATGGTGACTTTTGGCTGCGCCTGTCTGCTAATGCTGTGAATATGGTGATGGTGATGGTGCTGCTGATGATGAGGCTGCTGATGATGATGATGGTGATGATGATGGTGATGGTGCTGCTGCTGCTGCTGATGATGATGATGATGGTGATGGTGCTGCTGCTGCTGCTGCTGATGATGATGA